ACAAGTAGCCGCCGCAAAATAGCCGTCGAACTCGCCGTAAACAACTGGATCTCACGTGCTTATCCTAAACTTGATCGGTGGATGGCTGGAAAGGGATCTCAGTCGCCATGCAAGAGAGAATCGCCTTTCCAGATGGCGACAGTAGATAGATAGCAGAATATGAAAGGGTTAGGTTTAGCTGTGGCGAAGTTTAGTTGGGCATTGAATTCATTTCTCTGAAATATTTATTTCTCCCATCAAATCAATTTTCTTACAAAATTATCCCCACAAAATATATCTATTTATAAATAAAGAAGTTTTGTAAATGTAATTATCTGTTTTTTTAGGGGTTTTACATACATAGCTTGTAAATCATTGCTATTTACATCTTGCATCTCAAACTAGAAAATTACAAGTCATATTCTTTTCCATTTCCGACCATTTCTCATCCGGCTACATGTCATAGCAGCAGCAGAATTGCGGTGCGACGATATTGAAAGCGACCGAATCGTGGTCTTCAAAGTCTTCAGAAACTTATATTGTCGGAGCTGCAATGATTAGATTGACAATAATGAAATTGTTGTGTTAAAACTCTTTTGAAACTCTCATTGTAGGAACTGCGAGCGGATCACATATATAAAGCCTTCCATCATCGAAGATGTGTTTGGATCATGCATACAAAGACTTTTGAGACCCCCACATTTCTCCTTTTTTGGCAGTATCAGGATCGAGTGTATAAAGACCTCTGAAACTTCTTCCCCTTCTAGCAACTTTGGCAACAAGATCGCGCACAAAGACCTCCGAAACTCCCTCCTTTATCCTACGATGAGAGGACCTCACATACAAAGTTCGACTCCAACAAGGAAGTTGGAGACGAAAATGTCAGTAGAAGTGTGAACTTCGTAATATTCAAATTTAGACATAAGATAAGCGAATAATAATATTTTCCATGTTATGCTCGTAAAAAAATATATATATTTTTTAAATTAGATTACTTGTGATAAAGTACAAACTTCACACATGAGATAATATATAAAATCATTCTCATCAATAAATATGCTCACGATAAAGGATAACATACAAAGTACATTCACATATAACTTAGGTTTCTTTTATGACAATTTTTTTATAAATAAAATACATTATCCTTAGTATATGGGGCCATCACATTATAGCTAATGCAATAGTTTTATCTAATTTATGAACTATTTTTTAAGTTGTAACCTATTAAGTAATAGTGAGCCGAGTTGTCCTGATCCAGCTCGAAATGGTCTTGTTAATGAGCTTGAACTCCAGCTTACATTCAAGCAAGATTATATACGAGCTCGAGCTCAAGCATAGCCTGACAGCTCAAATTCATACTCATCAAAATCGAGCCACATCTAGCTCAAGTATAAAGTGGTTCGAGCTCGACTCTGCAAGTTTAAACTCTTGTAACTGTCTATGGACTTTCAGGATAAGACCAATCATTGTGTATGAGAATTAAGTTTGCTTTGGTTCCAAAAATTTATTTTTTGACTTTTTAAAATATTTTTATATATTTTAAATAACTTTGTTATAAGTTTATTGTTTGAATTATAAAACAACTCATTTATATTCACATTATTTCGGTTCATATGGTATTATAGATGTCCAACATCAATGCAATCTTATCATTGGAGCTTTAATAGAAGTAGAAAGTGTTGAGATTTGATACTTCACCAACAAATTTGCATATCCGAAACGAATTTCGAGGCAATATTTTGAGCAAAAAATATTCAAATCTTAATAAAAAAATCATCCAGAGCTCCGATTTCAGTAAACTTATAGTCAAACTAACCGACTCGATGAGACGGACCTAACGATATCAAAGTTAGTCCAATCCGAGTCAAATCAAGCCCAGATCAAGTGATTAAATCATTTTTGGAAGATTTCCGGACACATTTGAATGATCAAACAAATGTCGAATTCAGTGAGTTCATATTTGAATCGAACGTCTAGAAAAGACGAATCCAACAAGCCCAAGATTGCTCAATTCTGACATCTAAGGCACTCAAATGTTCATCAAATGTCATTTGATCGAAGGAAATTCTCTAGACCGTTTGATCGCCCAAGATTGCTCAATTCTGACATCGTTAAGGCACAAATGTTCATCAAATGTCATTTGATCGAAGGAAGTTCTCTAGACCGTTTGATCGAAATGATTCATATTTATGCATTAATTGCACCCAACACACATTAAATAGAGCCCCACCCCTCACATGAAGGAGGGAGGCTTGAGAGAGAACTTGAGGCTTTGATAAATAGTTCAACTCCAACATCATCTCTGACATCGTTGACCTTCGTCGACCACCACTGACCACCGTCAGCGATCACCACCGAACTCCATTGACCACCGCTAGAGAGAGAGAGAGAGAGAGAGAGAGAGAGAGAATACATTTTCACTTATGTGATTACAATGAAGAAAAATGGCAAAATAGGCCTCTATCTCCTTATAAATGTTCATTTTAACCCCAGACCAATTTAATCTCTGAACTTTTTAAATATGGGTTGAAATAGTGACATTGATGATTATTTTAACCCTAATTTAAAGTTTGTGTACTAGTTTGATGACCACTTTAGACAATCATGAGACCAGTTTGACACTTTACTCAACTAGAATGTGGTGAATAATAGTGACATTATGCACAGGACTCCAACAAATTTTCACCATCTGTCATAAATATAGAGGCATAACATGGTTCTCGAAGAAATCTTTTAAGCAAAAAAATTCAAACATCGATAAAAAATCATCCTGAGCTCTGATTTCAACAAATTACTGTTAAACTGCTCGGCTCAACGAGACGAAACCAATGATATTAAAATTAGTCTAATATGAGTCAAATCAAGTCATTAAACCACTCTTGGATGTTTTTTGGATATATTGAAAAGGTCAAACGAATGTCGAATCTAACAAGCCTATAGTTGAATCGAGGGTCTCGACAAAACGATTTCAACAAACCTAAGATTGCTCATTTCTGACTTTGTTAAGACACTCAAATGTCCATCAAATGTCGTGTGATCGAAGGAGGCTCTCCAGACCGTTCAATTAAAGAGGTTTATATTCCCGAATTATTTGCATCTAGAACACTATAAATAAAGCCCCACCCCACTCATGAGGGGTGGAGAGTTTGAGATATAAGGAAGAGTTGGAAGCTTTGAGAAGGAACTGAATTCCAGCATTACCATCGCAGACCGTCGTCAACCACCACTGACATCTGTCTATCACAATTGACCATCGTGGACTTTCGTCGATCGGCATCGACCGCCGTTAACCATTGTCGACCACCACTGACCTCCATCGACTACCACCGACTGTCGTCGATCACTGTCAATCTCCATCAACCACCGCAGAATATCGTCGATTTTCGTCAACCACTCTTGATCACCACCGACCGGGGGTTGCCAATCGTTATCGACCGCCGTCTGTTCTTAGGAATAAATTCATAAGCACTCCAACGTTGTAACTTGGAAAAACTAATAACCATTTCCCGCTTGTGAGACGAGTGGTTGCAACTGTAATCATATTTTTATAGTGGAACTCATTCCGCTATGTTAGACCCCGTGATTTTTCCCTTCCGAGATTTTTTACGTAAGAAACTTCTGTTGCCATTTTTAGTTGTTTTTTTTTTCTAAATGCGTGTTAAATATTCGTATCACATTAAGTATATAATCTGCCACTTTACTGTCGCAAATTTTCTATATATTTAGAGAATGTGGGCAAATGTTACAAATTTTATAAGGAAATAATTTTAAAGTGTGCTTCTTTGAGATTTTTGTGTTGGATCATGAAATTGTTGAAAAAAGCTAATATAATAAGTATTGACTTTTATCCTCTAAGAAAAACATATAACAAATTTTAATAGCCATTACTCTCTACCAAATTTACTTATGCAAAGCTCATTCTCATAAAAAAAAAAGGTTATAAATGTAATTTTTTAAAAAATAATGAAACAAAACACTTGTAACAATTTGTAAAGTAAAAATACGAAAAAAGAAGGGTTCAAACACACTTATTATTTGTAAAGGGTTATGTTTGTTTGATAAATGTTTTGTTGTACTAACTCACTAATATGAAGTTAACGCATCTTTTAATGCTAACAATTTATAAGAAAATTTACATAAATAACCGCACAATTCTTATGTATTTATGTATCTAGCATCTTTATTTTAATATTTACTTATATCACACCTTAGAGTCACAATCAAGGAATAATAATGAGCTTTCCTTAAGCAAGTACTAAATGAGCCTCACAGGTCTGATGTATCGATCACACCAACCATGAACTTAATGATATGGTTATAACCAGATCAATTGTACTCGTTAATCATACCTTTGAAGGTGATAGACTACAGAGCTTTTTCCCGCTCATAAGGACACCACAAGTGCCTCCAAAGCTCTTTGGCATTAATGCGGGTTCCTCAGACCGGACTTGCTAGGTTGTACTAAGTCTTCAGGCGAGCGAGCTCCTTCACCTATGCTTCCTCACATTTCTCAAGTTGATATTCCAAGCTCGCATGTACTAATTGCATCCTTATACCATGCTCGCTCATAGTTAACTTGTTGCATCATTGAGCATGATGACCAGTTCTTTGAGGCATAACAAAGAGATTTATCGTCCATCATCATGCAATGAATATGACGCCAAAATGTTAGAAATGTAAAAGTCAAACTCAAAGTGATGGATATATAAGTAAATTTAAAGTAAAAAAAAAAAAAATTATGTGATGTGGTAAAAACTCCATTGTTGTTAAAATGACAGACCACTTTCACTACATTCAAAGCATCATTTACTAGTTCAAAACTGAACCTTTTTTGGTGCTCTGTAAAAGCTGTTAAAGTTCTTAC